AGGGTTGTTTTTAATTATACAATTWAATACATGTGTGTGTGTGTTTAAATTTATGATTTGTGTCTCCATGCATTTTTATGCATGTGCCTGTTTATTTACATATGTATCTCACTAGTGTAGTTAAAAAAATCGGGTCGATACTTCCTCTTACTCCTATATACAGTGAAATTCCCCAAGACGGACAGTCCTTATAACCAATCATTCTTTCATACAAATATCATACTAATAAACGGACGCTCTCATAACCGGACGCGGACATTGTATTTCAAGCCATTTCCAGGAAAAAATTTCTCATAAACGGACAAAATTCAAAAACATCGCCAGCAAGCTTTGTTGTTCATTATAAAAATGAAATAGGGGATTTCCCTTTTAACATATATGCACACATTCAAGCCGTGCGTGCCAATTAAAAGGTGGTTTTCTATTCAGTTTGTCAAGTAAGTTGCATGCGAGTGGTTGCGTTCAAAGTTCATAATAATATGGCACCGAAAAAGAAGCTACTTTCTATTAAAGAGAAAATGCAAATTATTAATGTTTTCGAAAAAGAAAAGTTATCAGTACGTGGAATTGCAAAAAGGTAAAGTATAGTGAGTCCAAAATTTAACTYGTAGGTACACGTTCCTTTGCTTTAAAAGGTTCAATATTGACAAAACGCAAGCTGAAATTAATAAAAATAAAGAAAAAATTCGTTCTAAATGGGAGTCTGGATCTAATATTCACCAAAAACGAAGTTTCCTTAAAGAAGCCAGCTCGGAATAGACAGGATGTGTTTTCATTGGCTCGCTAAGGCTAGAATTCAAAAAATTCCGATTTCTGGTCCCATTTTGAAAGCAAAGGCAATGGAAATTGCAGGAAAACTGGGTGTACCTAATTTTAAAGCTTCGGATGGATGGCTAAATAAATGGCGATGAAGGAATAATGTTTCCTCCAAATGGCTATCTGTTGAAGCTGCAGATGGGAATCAGTATGATGTCGAACAGTTTCAGACAAAGCTGTTGAATGGGTACAAGCCTGAAGACATGTACAACGCCGATGAGAGTGGGCTTTTCTTTCGTGCCTTACCGGACAAAACCCTCGCTTTTAAATCTGAAAAATGTATGGGAGGTAAGCTATCAAAGGAAAGACTCACAATTTTGTTCTGTGCTAATATGGCTGGAGATAAAGAGCCGCTTTTGGTTATAGGGAAAGCAGCCCGTCCTCGATCCTTTAAACATGTCCCAATTGCAAAACCTCCAGTGGATTCGAAGTCTAATAAAAAAAGCATGGATGACTCGAGAAGTGATGGGCGAATGGCTGCAGCAGTTCAATCGAAGAATGAAAACCCAGAATCCAAAAATGATCTCGTTTCTAGATAACGTGGCTTCTCATCCAAAGGAATTAGACTTGACCAACATAAAAATTTGTTTCTTGCCACCAAATACAACGGCCGTTAGCCAACCCCTTGATCAAGGTATAAAACTCTTGATAACTAAAATCGGCGATACAGGCTCTCAAAATCTATTAATGTACTGGAAGCTGCATATTTTATCAAAGCATCTTGGGATAAAGGGGAAGCCACATCAATCCGAAACTGCTTCCGTAAAGCAGGATTTTTGGAAACCTTAGAGCATCCTTCAGATTTTGATCCCGAAGATGACATTCCACTGGCAGTCTATGGTAGGCTTCAGGAAGGACTAGATTTGGCAAATGATTTCGAAGGTTTTCTCCAAATAGATCAAAATGTTTTCACTGAGGACAACCATATAGAAATTCAATTTGACCAACCAGATGATACTATGGACTTAAGTGATGCAGAAGATGAACCTTCAGAAGAAATAAGTGACCCCATAAYATCATATGATGAGGCTTTAAAACTTGTTGCGCGCTTGAAACAATTTGCAAAAAATGACTATGTAGTTTTTCAGCAGGTTAAAAATGTCGAGTCACTTTGAAAATTAAAATTTCAAATCAAAGGAATCAATGTTAAAACAAACAAGCATCACACAATTTTTTTTATCAAACTAGTCGATATTGAAATGTAAAGACTTGTACAATGTATTTAATTGATA